AGGGGCATAATATGTCTCCTTTAAACGAACATAACTGCCAGCCTCTCAGACTTTTTTTCATTTTTCACTTTATTCACATTTTTGTCACATAGATTTATAGACTTACGGTATTTCGATAACTGTTTAATTTAATTTTCTTTAAATATAATAATAATACATAATTTTATATTATTATTCAATAATATATTACAAAAATATTATTTTATTTCTCCAAAGGAAAATCTGAGAAAAAGTTAATATTTAAATGAACACAACAGAGTCTAATGAACTATAAAAGAGCTCTGACTCAGTCATTTTATCTATTCATCACTGCATCTGTGTGATGAACAATTCGCAGTCGAATTGATTTTGATACCAAAATATCTCAGTAGGTACTGATTCAGGACTTGAATGATCCATCAGCAGATTTATAGGCTCTAGTGCACAGCTCCCAGCATCGGTCGGTTATATTGAACACTCCCTCAATGACTCTATCTGAAGCACTGTTGCCTCCCAGTAAAACCACAAGCCACAAAAGCACAGCAAGACCAGGACCACAGTCTAACTGGGAAACCACAGAGGCTGGTTTTAGTTCAGCCAAAGAGCTCCACCCTAATCTTTACAGAGATGGAGGCATTGGCATCAGAGGCGGGCCTTCAATCAGAGGCTGAGATGTTTACTTCGCTGTTCTCTGGAATGTGTTGGCCAGCATAGCAGATACATGGCGCTTTCTACAAATAGGACATGAGACATATAAAAAAAGAGCCTGAAAAATATATTTTTCGAACAATAATTTAGATAACAGGATTTAGTGGTTGGGCTTGATGAATACAGTCAACACCAACGTTTTGCTCATAGCTTCATGTTAGGTTAATTTTATGTTACATAACATTTCTAATACTTCTTACAAAAAAAAAAAAAATATATATATATATATATATATATATATATATATATGGGATTTATGTCTCTGATGCTTTTACTAAATAAGCATACTGTATTCATGGAAAGTGATGCACACTGGTAGCCACAGGAGATGATTATACATAGCACTTATGGGAAAGAGCAAGAAAAGGAGAAACAAAGTAAGAACTGGAGATAGAGAGATGGAAAGAGCAGACTTGCTGTCTATCAGAGTTTGTGAGGCTGCAGTGATGTGACAGAACTTGATTAGATCTAAAGCCCCGCGGTCAGAAAGCTAATCAAGAGGAAGGAGCAGTCATACACCCACAGACACCCTAAAGCTGTGTTTCCAGCAGTTGCATTCCGAACACAAAAAAAAGGGTGTTCAATCCTTAAAAAGTGAGGACATGAAGGCCACAGCTGGCTTAATTATTTCCAAGGAAATGCCTTGACTGAACTTAAAAGGTAATTTTTCCATAAACTAAAATCTGTCATCATTATAACAAAAATATACAAATTTAGGTTAAGTAATTCTAAGAAGTTGTTCTATGCAAATTGCGATATTATGTCATAATAAGTGCTTCAAGTTTTCAATGAGAGCAAAACATCATGAATGCTCAGCAGTGGAACATGAGACCTCTTTCAATACATGAAACTACTGAATTTTATCAAAATATTAAAATATTTATACAGTTAAAATAATTAATTGAAATTAAAATTTAAAAAATAATACATTATCCACATTTGTTAATAGATTTTAAGATTTTTTTATATTTTATAATATTTAAATAAATATTTCTTAAGTTAACTTAAATCTTTCTGTCATCTTTCTAGTCAAAACAGCATCGGTGTGATGAATAATTCTCAAAATGAAAAAAATTATTATAATTATGTATTATATAATTTATATTATTATTTGCAATTATTTTTTAATTAAAATTATATATGATTTTAATTATGTAAGCATCAGCAATAGGTTTACAATATTGCTGTTTAAATCACAAACACAATATCTGAGATCTTTTTGACCAAACTGTGCAGCTCTTGCAAACAGTCGCACACCGAAACAAACACATTGTCATTTATTGGTTTGCGACATCTGCTAATAGTAACCTTTTAACCAAGACACTGAGGCCATGCTATTTCAGAACAGAGCAAATCATTCTGTTAAAGTCTCCAGGGTACAGGCTGATGTACCATTAAATGTCCTGCTGTATCCTCAGCCTCATCTTTCCTAACCACTGTTTATTAAAAAGCCCAGCATGGCTCTGAGAAACCACAACAATTAAACATAGAAAAGTAATATATTCATTAAAGAGAATTAAAAATGCAAGTCTTAGGAATCCTCCATTTAACAATAATCAGTCCTAGCACTACGTCTCACTTGCTTGCATCTTCAATTTTACGACCCTTCGCTGTCTCTGTTCTTTCAGCTCCACACCTCTTATTTAATGCATATTAATCACAGTCTGATCTCAATGACCCCAGCCTAATCAAATACACACCACTCTCTTCTCGGCAAGACTTCTGAAGCCATATAGTTAGACCAAAATCCATACTATATATCTGAAATGTATATTTAATTTTAATAAAAATTCTGTCATCATTTACTCACCTACATGTCATTCGTTTATAGTTATTTATAATTTATATTATATATAAATATTTTATATATTAATATAACATTTATCTTTAAATATATACATGCGTGTATTTAGGCTATATATGCATTATAAATGTACAAAGTACACACACATGTGAAAACAAACTTTTATTTTGGATGCGATTAATCGCGATTAATCGTTTGACAGCCCTACTTTATAGTTATCGTTCTTGGTGTGAACTGGCCTAAAGTCTGATTTTTGTTTTCAAGTGCTGGATATTATTTCTGGCTCTGCAACATGGACAAAATTGGTCTCGTGTCCACATGATCACTTTAAAGTGTCGTCGAGAACAGACAAAGCTGTTTGTGACATCCCTCCCACCTTTCAGTGGTCTCTTCCAAATGTTTTGAAGTAAATGAGTTTGTGCCACTCCAGGCAGCACCAATACACCATTCCAGCATTAGCGAGACTTTAAAAATGGCATTTAGAGAGGGCCATAGAGGGGGTGTGCTGAGTGTAATGTGTAGGCCTGGGGGAGTGCGCAACATGTACAGGCATCGTTCAAAACACTCACTGACTCTCTGAGTCACAATCTGAAAAATAGATTTGCTATAAGTCACAGATGCAGTTTGACCTAAAGCTCATGTACATATGTACCCCTCCAACACACACACATAGGCCTCCACTTCAATTCAGCCTGAACCAGACTGATTCAGCTACATCCTGTCTCTCTGTAAGCTGCATTAGCTGCGCTATTAAATTAATCTGCTCTTCACAAGCAGGTAAAATACCGCAGCTCTATCTTTTGCAGGTTATGTGCTTGTAATTGGGACAGTAAACGAGGGTCAGTATCAAGCCACTAGGTCTAGGTAGATATTATAGCTAATAAGTACAAGCCTGAATGGATGAATGATGAGACAATTTGATAGAGAGCACAACAATAAATGTAATTACAGGCCGTTAATGTGGTACACACAACAGTTTGAATCCAAAATTAGGGCAAATATCCCTTCTTTACAGTCCTGCTCTGATGGTTAGTCTCTCAGCTGTTCCTCACAGACGCTCACATTGACGCACAAATGACAAGACACAAACACTGCATAATTCTAGTACACATGCACAAGCAAAAATCCATAATTTAATGAGAGGATAAAAGCTTTGACCACATATTCAGGATTGGGGGACCAAATGTATTCATTTGAGAATCAAACTCTGTGTCAGTAATATGAATAGGACCTATGTTACTCCCCAAAGTCTATAGTAGGCCTGGTTCATCCGAGGTTTCCAGTGCAAAAAAACTAATAAAGTAGCACAATATGCTGCTTTCATAACCTTCATTATTTGCAAATACAGAAAGCCTAATGCAATTCTCGCATATTTCTACTTCGTCATTACATATTCGCTCGAAGACATGATATGAAGGACAATTTTATGTCTGTTATCTGATAACAAGCCTTATATCACAGATCTGTGAATCATTATCCCACTGGGACGCGCTCGAATCCTGTCATACAACCTCGATAACTCACTGCTCGAGTTGTTATTGTGATGACGAATCTGGACACGCCGCCCACGCCCACGAGAGCAGAGAAGGTGCGTATCTTGCCCCCTCCGCCTCCGCGCATCAAAGATTCTGCTTCTCTTCTTCAGCGAGAGCCTACATGAGGAAGCTCCTTCACATCACATTTAAGGACCCCCATACAATCATCTAATAACGATAACGGTGGTTTTTGATGTTCTGTGACCAGCACTCCCATTCCTGCTGGTGTAGAGCGATTCGGAGTGAAAGCTTCTTGATGTGCCATTACAAAGTTAAATTCTCATGATTGTAGATAAGTCGCTAAATATCTTTTGTTGGCTGAATTATGTGATTTGATATGTATTAATCTATAGCTTTCAGTGCGATTGACTTTTTAAAGGAATTTCAGTCAGTAATTTTCTGTCGACGTTTCTAACTAGTGTCCCTAGCTAACCGTCAACTATCTTAAAGACATTTGAAATAAAACGCTTATACATTTGTGATAATCTATTATAAAGCGAGAAATAATGACATTAGTCGTGTTTTGTCGTACCATACCATAACGGAAAGCGCTCGGCGGCGAACTGTTGCTATGGTTACCTCCTCACGAGGCAAACGGGACTTATGTAGTGCTTTCCGAGTAACTTGTAAAATAACTTTTGTGGATACTGAACGCTGTCTGAAAACGCTAATTGAAACACAAACTTATAAATAGTTACAAGTTAAGGAATGCTGACTTTTAAGACTTTTGTTTTGACTTCCTTCAAGTCGTTGCATTGAGGGTCAGACTCCAACCCATAGCCTACTGTAATTCACAGCCTGATTGCCATTATTAACATCAGACACCTGTACCCTTCACTACTTGGGAAAGAGACATCAAGAATGCCCAACTAGATTATAAATGATCTGACATATCAAATCATCTTTTTTCTTGACTACTGCGCCATTAGATTAGAACGACTTTGCGGCTTTAGGGAGCAAAACGCATCACGTACCTTTCATCCAGTCCACAACTTGACTGGGGCTCCATTTACTAACAGGTTCCATGACGAGAGCCATCGCGAAACTTTCTGTGGTTGTCCCCTCAGCACGGCTCCGAGGGGCAGCAGATGTGGTTTAACGCAGCTCTGGGGAGCTCAGATCGGTGGTCTCGCGTTAAGCGCCTAGATTTGGCCCCCGGTTACGCGATTTCATCCCATCCAGAATTGCGCATCCAAAAGCGTCACACCGAACGACATCAAGCGCATTCCTAACCTTACTCCTGCAAGCTCAAGGGTTTCTTATTAATATAACACCCATATCTAAGAGCCCAAACCAGGTCCCCGTTTCAGTTCAGATCCTGGTATAATGTGCCATGCTCAGCCGGGTCCCCAACATTCGCGTCTTCATGCCATGCACCAACTGCAGTCTCCCCTGTTTCTCCTTTCCCCTCCCTTCGTTTTCTTCTCCTCTTTAGGGGTCTGTACCTTTCAGATGTGGACTAGTGGGTATGTAGAGTAAGACAGAGAGAAATGAGCGGCGTACCCACGGGGACTTAAGTGAACGTCGCTTCCAAAAGCGGCGGCGAGCGTTGATTCAATTGGGCGCGCGCTCCTCCTGTGGGTGGTGCGGCAAAGTGAATTTGACTCGCGCGCTCGGTTTATTTCCCACGAGGATAAAAGGCTTTCGGCCGTATTCATTTTAATGAGGGCACGCTGGTTCGCCCTGCTTCAGAAACTCTTTAAAAGCAGTGAATGCAAAGTATTTGTCTGGAATATGTAATAATGCTCACAGAGGGGCTATATTTGCATGAGACTTGGCCACTTGGGACTATGTGTGGCTAATGTTATGGTCTAGACCAAAATTATGGAGGACTATGGTAGCATAAACCATAAGAGTGACATGAATAACTCAAAGATGCATAAATGGGAGGTCAATCGGTGCTAGTTGCCACACATTTTAGTCTAGTGAATATTTCTCAGGTTTATTTTTGAAAGTCAATTTCTGAAAGTCAAGAGCATACCCTGAAGTCTCAAAAAGCTATTAAACATTTTAATTTTTGTGAATACATAAAAAACATGCAGATAATTTAAACGTTTGGTGAAAATAGTTTGGTAAGTTGTCTCGTTTGGAACCTTTCAAAACGTACAACAACTGTGGAACACAAAACAAGCATTCATGAAACAGCAAAAACATTATTCTAACTATTGTTTTGGGCTGAAATGTTGGCCCTGGCTCTAAAATTGAAAGAAAAATACCCTTGAATTTCAAAAGAAACTAGGTTTTTGAAACTAAAATATAAAACAACTATTTACAACCTATGTAATTCATAAACAGAGCCATTTGGCTGAAGGCATTTTAATTTAACATTACATAGGACTATACTGAAAAAATATCTGAAAATTAAACTCCAAATCATATTCCTAATGTTAAAGGGGTCATATGATGCGATTTCAATTTTCCCTTTCTCTTTGGAGTGTTACAAGCTCTTGGTGCATAAAGAACAGCTACAGCATCTATTATTCACAGAAAGAGCCCCAAAAGAAATATATGTATTTAGCATAACATTTAGATACAAAAACTTTGTTTAATGTGGTTTATTATTGTTGGCAGCCGTGTGTAAAGTAGAAAAAACGTTCTTTGCCTCAGGAATTCTGTCTAAGACATCTTTAACTGGTTCACTGAAACATAGATATAATCAATTAAATACTTTGTCATAAACATTTCTGTTTAAAAAAAGGCATTCTTAAGGTTTTTGTCATATGATGCTGAACAAAAACTTTTTGAGTGATTTCTTTATAAATTGGTCTAGCAAACTCATCCAACATGGACAGTTTCGCCAGTTCACCATCATCCCTGGCCTTCATCCTGGCTGCCTATTGATTTTGTTCCAACTCATCCTTACTTCAGAACCAGAGCAGATGGAGCCATGAGGCTGGAGTCGGGCCCAGATCAGGCCCCAGTATGTCAGCATGAATCATACAACAGATTCTGTGGAACCTCACCATAGAGATTCAGAGATCAGTGGGCTCTGCCCCATAAACATGCACTCTTAATCAAACACGTAGGAAAGTATCAGAGCAGGAAAACTGGAGCTGTCAGATTAATTTGCAGCACAATCCGGCTCATGGGCTTTTTTAGCTCCTGATTTCATATTTGTCCCCTAAGTGTGTTCTTTTAAGTGTGTGGCCACAACTGCTTTTGAAACTGATCTTTGTCACATTGTAAGACAGTTTGGTTTTTTCTTGAACATTTGGGATAGTGTGCCCCCTTCTGACCATCCAGAGACATGAGCTAAATTTACAGTCCTTTTCTAGAAGCTTTAATCAAAACAGAAAAGATTGATCTCAAGCTTTATGTATGTTTTCTTTAACGATATAGCCAGGGCAGATTTATAGATACACGCATATATGAGTTGTGATCTTGTAATAATCACATGCTTAGAGTGAGATCTGGATAGTTTTAGATACAAAAGAAAAGCTTGTCCTTTGTGCTATGAAAAGCAGGGAAGCTTTGCTTCCTTATGCTGTTTTTGCTGTGCAAACAGGGTGGTAAACAAACACCTCCAGATGGATGGAGGGGGGATCGACTTCAGAACGCATTGCTGCTTTTGAGTGGGAGGAAAGGGTTTTTTTATTTCCTGCCAGCCTAGATGTTGTGGAGACATTACATTTATTCCCCCATCCATGCTGCTCCTACTCTTCTCAAATGGCAAAAAAGAGAGCGTATGCTGTTTTGGAAAATGAAGTGGGTTAGCAGTGCTGTCTGACAGCTGCCACAGGGCTGCTTATCCATAATAAACACAGCTGGGTGGAATATGTTTGTGTGGCACCAAGATACCTGTGTGTCCTGAGAAGAACAAGCTGAGAGGTTGCACACTTCAAGTAAACAACTTCTCAGCTTGTACTTAGGACACACAGGTATCTTGGTGCCAAGTATGATACTTGTTCCCTTTAAACCAGAATTTCCTTTAGGTAGCATGTTGTTAAAGAAATGGTCAGTAGCTCTGTTATGCCGCCAGTTACTACAGAAAATTCCTCCACAGTTTGTAAGCTACAAACAAACAAAAAAAGTTCTTACTGGGATAAATATTTATAATATATACTGTTTAAAAATGTGCAAAAATGTGTTAATATGGCAGTAGGCCAGAAAGCTGTCCTTATAATTGCTAACATATCAAATCTACAACAACGCGATTCATAAATATACATATAGACATGAACAGAAAAATACATCATTGCATTATTGCAACTTAGCATACAAAAGTTCACAAACCCTTAAATAAGGACAAACAAAACCAAAAAACAGTTAAATGAGCACGTATTCTAAAACTATATACAAGTATGCCTTTGTTGTGGGTTAAGAATGTATTTAAGCATGGGCAAAGTTTTTTCAAAAACATAAACATCCTCAAATTCACCATTTAAACATTAACCTATAGGCCTACTATGGTGTTTTCATGTCCTATGGTAGGCTACTCCAAAATATATATTCTATGAAACATGAATATGTACTTTTGGTGTTTTACAGTAGGTTACTGTCAATGATCTGATGTTCTTTGATTGGAAAATATTGTAATGATTATTATTCGAGTGACGGTGCGTGACGTCACTGCTACGGACAGTCTTTCTAGTGGCGATACAGTTTAGTATTACAGTTTTATTTTTATTATTATTTTTATTTCTTTAAAATGTACAAGTAAAAATAAATATAGTCTATTCTCAACATTTAAAAAATTACACCATATACATATATTTATATTTAGCTAACATAATGATTTCCATGCTAGTCCTACCTGCAAAAGTTGAGTAGCCTTTGTTAAAGCAAGAGTCTTCATGCATAGCTTACACTGTACAACTATGTTATTCCCTTTATCCTTTTTGAAGACAAAATAACTGAAATTTCCAGATATGAAAACGTTTTTCCCAGCAGGAAGCATCGTAATTAACTGTAGCAGCTTCTCATCCCGCGTTTGAGGAGAATAATTGTAGACGGGTGTTATTTGCGCACGCACCAGCAGGTGGCTCACGTGAGTCAACATGAGTGTCAACAGAACCAGGAACTACTGTATGATGAAGCAGCGCCAAATATAGCGTTAATATGTCAAAAACTCATTTATTTAATTTTAAATGAAACCAATGTAATTTAGGTAGATAGGGAAGAGAGTGAAGGTGGACCTGGAAGGCTGTTTGAAGGAGACCTTCCTATCATTGCCGCTGAAAGGAAGGTTTGAGTCCTCACAAGTGACGGCTACTGGAGTCGTTCACTAGACGTTACACGTGTTGAATTTTAAGTCCTCATCGCTGGCAAACATTAGGACGGTTTGCAGGTTTGTTTCAACTGATTGTAGATGAATATCCACTTAATCCATCACTGTTTGTTCTCTGTGTTCTGAGCTTTATTAAGTGACAAATGCTCAAAGTCCAAACGATTCAGTCCGTGAGTGAACTGCCCTAATGATTCAGACGACTTCTTCTTTTGGCTTTTTATGGCAAGAAAGCGATAAGTGCATACGGGCCAAAATGATTCAGATTCAGTCGTGACCCAGTTTTTGTGAAACATTTAGGGTTTTGTTTAAGGGACCGTTCATATGTCGCGCCTAAAAATGTGTGCTAAACGCTAGGCACGCCGCTCTCCAAGTAGATATAACTGCAGACCGGAGATCTCCAAAATGGGGCGTGAACTCCAAAAGTGGGCAGAACCTCCAAAATGGGGCGGGGTCTCCTCGCGCAAAGACTTTCACAATTGGCTCTGGCTCCAGCCAATTGTTATTGACTTAGATTTCAAAATAAAACTTAATAAATTAAACATTGTTTCTAGTTCAAAACTGCGTCTTTCTTTACCACGCTATTCAGCGCCAATCCCGCCGTGCAGTCAATTTCACTGGTTAAGGTTAGGGTCAGGTGTGGGGTAGGTTTAGGGGTTAGCATTTTTTGTAGCATAGTGTAGGAAATCAACACTTTAATTGACACAACCAATAAAATCTTTAGAATCAGCTGTGGGGTGGAGTTTGCACTGAAGTGGATTGGGGGAAAAAGTGCGCATGCGTGTCATGTGCCTGTCTGTCAATGGGAGGAAGCCACGCCCTATTTTGGAACTCCCACCCCATTTTGGAGTTCCTGCCCCCCATTTGGGGATTTCCAGGCTGCAGTTATACCCTTCTCGCGCTTTCTGCTTCTTTCCCAAAGCGTTCAGGCGCTTGCGTTCCAGAGGCGTCTGCCGTAGCTAAGCAACCATGACCCGCCCATTTCATGAAGACGCGGAAGTTTCAGCAAAGAATAAATGGATTTGCAGCACTAAAAATCGCTTGCAGTAGCTCTGCTACTAAATTTATTTCAAAAATGTCTATCCTGTACAGCTATGATCAGCTGTTCCTTCATCTTGGTTGGTTGGTTTTTGTCACATGACCCGCAGTGCGATTGCGGCATTCTGAAAAGTTGAAATGTTTTCAACTAATGAAAATATACTATTGAAATCGCATGGTTGCACCGCGTGTGCGTCGCTTCCTTTATGAGCGCGCCTGCCGCGCGTCTACATTTGAAATAATGAACTTGAGCGCGCAAAAGGCGCAATTTGTG